TCCTAGTATGTCCGGAGCTGGTGGTGTTGCGTCTGACATCATCAGAATGCTACGCGTTTCTGAGCATACGTGGGGACCGCTAGGAACTGGCGTGCTCTTTCCTCAGGCATAGATTGTACACAAGGGGGAGCCTTATATGGGACAATGATGGCATGACAGACAGGACTAGGGGTGGAGAGAAGGGGAAATGAGTAAGGGGGCTGATACACAAAGAGTCAGCGGAACGATGGGCACATATATGAATGAATAAAAGCATAAAAGCAGGGGACGAAATAAATACATAGATGACATCATTGTCATCTGGGATGGCCCCCCCTCCTTCGTGGCCAAATTGCTCGCTCACTGCAATAATAACCCCTATGGTCAACATTTCACACATGAAAAATGTACAGACTGTCTCTCTTTCTTAGACGTAGAAATGAGTCATGAGAATGGCCATATCATTAACAAAAACTACACCAAACCCACATCAGGTAATGTTTTTTTTTACATTATCAGAGCTGCTACTACCCCACTTGGATACAAAACATTCCTAAAAGTAAATTCTGCCACCTCCGACAAAACTGCACGAAACAATCAGACTACATTGAACAAAGCCTTACCCTTAAGCAAAAAAATTCACAAAAAAAGTACCCTGACACACTTATACTACATAGTCAGATTTACCACCAGATTCCATGGGAAACATCGGAAAATCAAAAACATTCAAAACAAACAGTGGAATATCCTACTGGAGGACCCCCACCTGAAAGATATAATTCCCCAGAAACCCACTATTACCTACAGAAAAGCTCCCAACTTAAAAAATAAAATAGCTCCTAGTAAACTTAAGTCCTTGCAGCCCAATTCAGTTCCTTCCCTTTTCTTCACTCCCATAGTGGGCATGTATAAGTGCCGTAAGGTTCTATGTAAAACTTGTTCCTTTGCTATACATGGCCAAAAGGATTTTTACAATAGAGGCAAGCATTATAAACTCAATGACTTCCATAATTGCTCATCCACTTTTGTAATTTATTGTCTCAAGTGCCCTTGTGGCCTCCTCTATGTAGGTCACACCACCCGCACCCTCTGGTCCAGATTTGGCTAACATCGTCACCTAATCGAAGGGGGAAAAGATGAACATAGCATCCCCAGACACTTTCTAGAGACCCACCAAAAATCCACCACATGACTTCAGGTCTGGGTCATCGATGCTATGCCCACTGATCTCCCTGAGGCGAAGCGCCTCCATAGGCTCTGCCACAGAGAAACGTTTTGGATACATACCCTCGATACCATGTCCCCAGCTCGCCTCAATGAGGAACTGGAGATCACCACCATACTATCATTTTCGATCTGTAACCTTCTCACGCCGGCCGAATGCAAATGTGCAGCCTCCCGGTGTCTGGGCCTAGATGCCGAGTGGCCGCATATTTGTCCGGTACTCACGGAAAGGTCCCGATCTCCTCTTTCGATTGGGATCTTTCCCGATCATGTGACCGCTGGGATGGCGTGTCACGGCGGTCACATGACCCTAAACCCTGCCCCTCCTTCCTACTTCTGAAACCCTTAAAGGGCCAGGAGGCGCCGGCACCAAGGGGTTAAATTGTATTACATGACATCACGGTCATCTTGTCTCACTACACATCCCGTCATATAACTACATCAATCTTTGTTCACAGGTGTTCTATCCTTCTTTTTTTGGGGGTGGTCCATACCCTACTGTCTGTAGGTGGTCATAGGTTTAGTAAGTAGTGCCATAGAGAGATGTATGATTATAGAAATTCATTCATGGTAAAGCTAATGTTCATCATACCATTTCCATTCTATTGATATAATACACACACATACCATTGTTCGTTCCTCAACCCACACACACGCATATGCATGCACAGATATCCCCCCATATCGTGTGTGCATTTAAACATTTTCCTACTTTCATATCTGTTCTTTATATATATTCATCCCTATTGTATTCTATTTAATTTTTTCATTCTTTTGTTTCTTTATTCATCACGTTATTTCCCATCTATCCATAAATCCAACTATTTACACATCACTTGTCCACTACAATCCCATCCATATATACATATGTATGCATTCATACCCATTAGCCTCCTTCCTTAATATAATATAATTTCAATGTACATACATGCATCCCTGTATTCTTTACATTACTCACAACACACTATTTGTCAATTATATACCCATTGATGCATATCCATTTACTCATAATACTCATTATACTTGCTACATCATATTCTATATGTACCTATGTATTTCCTTACTCCTATTATTATTTGCCATTCTTAATGTATCATTATCTATTGTTCATTCCTTTTTATTCAGTCCCGTTTTGATATATTCATTTATTCTATATGTTTTACTTATTTTTTGGTCCCCTGCTTTTAAGCTTTTATTTATTCATATATGTGCCCATCGTTCTGCTGTCTCTTTGTGTACTGGCCCTCCTACTCCTTTCCCCTTCTCTCCGCCCCTAGTCCTGTCTGTCATTCCGTCATTGTCACATATAAGGCTCCCCCCTCTTCCCCTTGTATATGATCTATGCCTGAGGAAAGAGCACGCTGGTTCCTAACGGTCCCTGTGCATGCTCAGATGATGGCAGACGCCAACACCATCAGTTTCGGACATACTAGGAACTCAGCCGGACTCCTTCATCCATGCCCTTCTGTGTGCAGCGCCTCCTGCTGATCAGCTGCTGATCCCTTCCAGAGCACCTACCAATATCTGGCGATAGACGTTTTCTACACTTCATCCCTATGATCCTGTATACTTTTTAGTAGATGTGAGTTGCCAAACTTACTATTTATAAATAAAATTGTTATACAGTTTATACTTAGAGGCGCTATGTCCTCTGCTTCTGTTCTTTTACTCTAGAGCGTGTTTTACTCTACCACAGCCTGCCCTATTGTCAACTGGATTACCCTCTGCCTGATCTGGAGCATATTCCATACTATATTAGACTACATGGACTGCATGATCCATGCGCCTGCCTATTCTCCCTTTACTTAACTAACAGCAGAATACTGTTCCAAAACAAGAAACTCTTGAAATCACTAAATGTAAGTCCTTAAAGTGTACGTAAACCTCAAATCTACTTTTCAGTATGTTTGATACCGTGCCACACTGTATACAGTTTCTTACTCAAATACATTTTGTGAAACTGTTTCAAAGTTTCTTACCTGAACATAGTACCAGTAACAGCATTTTCTGTTGCAGGCTAATAGCACTGGGGTTGATTTATTAAAACTGAAGAGTGTAAAATCTGGTGCAGCTGTGCATGGTAGCTTCTAACCTCTGCTTGTTCAGTTGCGCCTTTGACAAAAAATTTGGAAGCTGATAGGAAGTGGTTTTACTGGCAGGGTCCCCACACAAGAAACCTTGCAATAGATTTGCAAAACAAATCATTGTAAGCAGTGTGGCATTATCTCATACTGAAAAATAAATGTAGGGCCTAAATACATTTTAGTGAGTTATATTTAGTGATTTTAAAATAATATTCTTCTCTTGAGTTTTTCTCTACGTGTGTCTGAAATGTAGAATTACCCTTTAAATGCAGGATTAGTATCGACCCAGTTTCCCATGGGGAACCACAAAAAATCCATTATTTCTCCTAATGGACCTTAAAGCATGAACTATTTAATTTTGTAACATTGTCCATCTTGCCCCTTTATGCTATGTATACATTACATAGAGGTGGAGAACAATGACACATTTAAGCACATTTTGTCCTTGAAGGTCACTTGAAGATCAGAATACAAATGCAGTACTTACATACAAGAATAACCTAGTTTAGAACTCAATACAGACACTAATAATCTGTACAGAACCACTCTAACAGATACCCCATCCTCCAAAACAAAATATAATTATAGGGCAGCCTGAAATGTAATTGTTTGAAATCTATCATCCACTTTGGAATAAGCTGTAGTTTGGAATTATTTAAAATATAATTTTCCAGCCAGGAAGCCTAATCTGAACGAGGGGTAATTGAAGCTGATTTTTCTTTGAAGGCCCAAAGGCATCTCCAAAGAAGCCACGAGAATGATTTAATTCCTGCATAATCCACGTTTTTGAACTTTATTCAATTTAAAGCTTCAGTAAGTAAAGTCTACAAGGTAAAAGGAATGGCTGAGTGTACTTAGCCATTCAGTCATTGTTTATTAAATCTTCTAATCTGAAAACTCAAGGTATATGTTGAGTCCCTCACAAGATTCCAGGCACTGTGTATATAAACACACTGACTTCATGGCTCTCTTCCTATAACAGAACATATGTGGGTTTTTGTCCAAGCATCTGCCAATGAATGAAAAGTGTATACATTAAAAAGAACTATTATGATTTTTGGCTTTACATCCACAAACAATTTTTTTTTTATAGATACAAATGAAAGTACCGTATTTTTCGCTCCATAAGACGCACCTGACCATAAGACGCACCTAGGTTTTAGAGGCGAAAAACAAGAAAAAAAAAATATTCTGAACCAATGGACTGCAGACATAGTACAGGAGATGACCAGAGACTGCGGACATAGTACAGAAGATGACAGAGACTGCGGACATACTACAGAGATGACCAGAGACTGCAGACATAGTACAGATGACCAGAGACTGACATAGTACAGGAGATGACCAGAGACTGCGGACATAGTACAGAAGATGACCAGAGACTGCGGACATAGTACAGGAGATGACCAGAGACTGCGGACATAGTACAGGAGATGACCAGAGACTGCGGACATACTACAGGGAATGACCAGAGACTGCGGACATAGTACAGGAGATGACCAGAGACTGGGGACATAGTACAGGAGATGACCAGAGACTGCGGACATAGACAGACCAGAGACTGCGGACATAGTACAGGAGATGACCAGAGACTGCGGACCAGAGATGACTGCGGACATAGTACAGGAGATGACCAGAGACTGCGGACATACTACAGGGAATGACCAGAGACTGCGGACATAGTACAGGAGATGACCAGAGACTGCGGACATACTACAGGGAATGACCAGAGACTGTGGACATAGTACAGGAGATGACCAGAGACTGCGGACTTACTACAGGGAATGACCAGAGACTGCTGAAATAGTACAGGAGATGACCAGAGACTGCGGACACAGTACAGGGGATGACCAGAGACTGCGGACATAGTACAGGGATGACCAGAGACTGCGAACACAGTACAGGAGATGACCATAGACTGCGGACACAGTACAGGAAATGACCAGAGACTGCGGACGTAGTACAGGGAAAATACCAGGGACACAGTACAGATGACCAGAGACTGCAGACAGTGCAGGGAATAACCAGAGACTGCAGACTGTGCAGGGAATAACCAGAGACTGCAGACAGTGCAGGGGATGACCAGAGACTGCAGACAGTAAAAGAGATGACCAGAGACTGCTGACCTTTGGGGAGGGAGGGGGAGCAGGTACCTGAATTTGACAAGTACCCGCTCCCACTTTCACGGAGTTGTCCTTCCCTCTTCTTCCCGAGCCGGCTTCTGTGACATCCGGGTGCCCACTGCGCATGCGCGAGAAGCGCTGTGCTTTGTGAACGGCCCGGCGCCTTCTGGGACCTGTCATGTGTCCCAGAAGACACCGGACCATTCACAAAGCGCAGCAGCATGCGCAGTGGGCAACCGGCTGTCACAGAAGCCAGCGCGGGAAGACTGTACAGCGCTGGAGCGAGGAACAGGTAAGGCCCTGCAGGAGAGAACAGCTGAGCGGCTGGCCCGGTGTTCTGACATGGTGGCGGCAGAAATACCAGACCGGCCGCTTTATATTCGCTCCATAAGACGCACTGACATTTTCCTCCTTTTTTTGGGGGAAAAAAGTGCGTCTTATGGAGCGAAAAATACGGTAGATTGTTATCAAGGTTTAGCCTCTGAATCTGTAGGGCATGCATCCCTGTCATTTGAGAGAATAGGCGACATCCATGGCAGTGACGGTCTTCCTCTTTGCAAGCTCGATATAGACAATGGCATCGCAGATGACATTCTTGGAGAAGACTCCTCATAGATGAGTCTGGAGATGCACTTGACTCCCCCTCTGTGGACCAAACGTGGTGGGTTGGGGTGGGTTTGGTGATATTGTCCCATAGCACCTTCCTGTGAAACTTAGCGCCTCCTTTCCCCAGACTCTTCCCTCCTTTACCATGTCCAGACATGACCAGGCTTCTCTGGTCTCTCTCCCACCCTAGGATGGGCTCCTTATCCTGATACTATATTTTGCCTGCCCATTGTTAATACATCTGGTTACTGACAAGACTATCTTTGCAGAGTTCTGCATTAATCTTTGTTTTTGGGACACGCATGATTTAGTTTTCTTGAGGAGACTAGCAATTATTGGAAGCCTCTCACCTTATGTGATTCTACTATACTCCATAGATCCTTTATTTCTCTATTTATTGGCTGCTGTAGTATGGTCCTTGCTAATGGGCAATATATTGGGGCGCACTCCCTTTCCTCTGCCCAGACGTGTTAGCCGGGAGGCATCTTCACCCAAATATCTGTGATGTGTATGAGCAACCAGCCATTCTTGTATATTTTGAATTGGACACTTTCTATCATGCTATATGTACCTATATGATGTTTTGTTATGTTATAGACCTTTCATATTTATTCCCTGAAGAAGAGAAAAAATGAGTTCTGAAACACGTTGGATTTGTCTGGTTACCATCATTGTTCAAGCTCATATGGGCCGATAGCCCACTTGCCAGTTGATCTATTACAGACGACCAGGTTATATAAATACTGGACAATGTTATTTAATTCTTGAGTCATGAATTGTTGTACTGCAGCTTGATCTCATTGAATCTGTTGATTCTTTTTATTAAAAAAAACATTTGTAATAAAAATGTATTGTTTTATACTGTTGCACACACATTTTTACCCTACAAAATGGGATATCTGTATATCTTTCTGATCTTTGTCTTGGTATTGGGATGCTGGCAAAAACAGTATAAACGGTGGGACACTTCAACCAATTTTTTAGTCTTATAGCTAGTACTAGTAAGCCACATTCAACTAGATATTTTCTGTAATATTACAGAAGTTTTGACTACTCATCTGTGTGGCTTTGTCAGCAATGATATCCTTATGGGTAACTCAACACAATTACCATGGAATTTGTCAGGGCACATGTTGATTATACAAAAACAAGATGGGAGGTGTGAAAATGTACAATGCAATCAGGCCCCTTAGGGGGTAGCTCTACAACATAATGTCCCAAGATGCAGTGGAGTCTGGGTGTATAGGAAGCACTTATCTACCTTCCTGCATCTGTGTATGTTTGGACTGATCAGCAAGTCAAACACACACAGGAAACATGCATTAGCTAGCAGTGGATCCCAGAACCAGGATTACAAGTTGAAGCTCCATGGAATAAGGTGAACTTTGTCTAATACAGTGTTGGTTATTTTAGGACCTTTGTATAACTAAGTGCTCCCATACAATTTGCCTATAACCATGACACGGCAGTATGGTTAGGCTGAGAGACACTCTAAAATCAATTGCTATCTCTGAACATCATTGAAAGCAACAGCCACTTCTTCCACAACCTAATCTTCTGACAGCTATAATATTCAAAATGGGAAGAGCTTAAAGGCAGATAACTAAAAGAGGAAATGTTATGTTTTGTTTTTAAACATTTAATATGCAAAAGATATACAGTTGTGCTCAAAAGTTTACATACCCTGGTAGAAATTGTGAAATTATGGCATTGATATTGCAAATATGACTGATCATGTCAAAAAATGCTCTTTTATTGAAGGATGATGATCATATGAAACCATTTATGAAACTCCTTTTTAAAAATCACCACCCAAATGGCCATGATCAAAAGTTTACATACCCTGGAAAGTTTGGCCTTGGTGCAGACACACAAGGTGACACACACGGGTTAAAATGCCAATTAGAGGTTAATGTCCCACATCTGTGGCTTTTTAAATTGCAATCATTGTCAGTGTATAAATAGTCAATGGGTTTGTTAGCTCTTATGTGGAAGCACCGACTAGGCTAGATACTAAGCAATGGGGTTCAGAAAAGGACTATCAAAAGTCCTGCGTAACAAGGCCTTTTTGTGTCATCGATGCAGTAAAGGCTTCTTTCTGGCACCTCGACCATGCAGCTCATTTTTGTTCAAGTGTCATATTGTGCTCCTTCAAAACAACCACTCTTTTTCCAGAGCAGCCTATATTTTTCTTGCGGTTACCTATGGGTTTCCCTTTGTATCCCGAACAATTCTTCTGGCAGTTGTGGCTGCAATCTCTCTTGGTCTACCTGACCTTGGTTTGGTATCAAGAGATCCCTGAACTTTCCACTTCTTAATAGGCGATTTAACAGTACTGATTGGCATAGTCACGGCTTTGGACATCTTTATATGTTCTTTTCCATCTTTATAAAGTTCCATTACCTTGTTACGCAGTTCTTTTCTGATCCCCATGGCTCAGTATCTGGCTCAGTATCTAGCCCAGTCAGTGCTTCCACGTAAGAGCTAACAAACTCATTGACTATTTATACACTGACACTAATTGCAATTTAAAAAGCCACAGATGTGGGACATTAACCTCTAATTGGCATTTTAACCCGTGTGTCACCTTGTGTGTCTGTACCAAGGCCAAACATTCCAGGGTATGTAAACTTTTGATCATGGCCATTTGGGTGATTTCTGTTATCATTATGATTTAAAAAGGAGCCAAACAACTATTTGATAATAAATGGCTTCATATGACCATCATCCTTCAATAAAAGAGCATTTTTTGGCATGATCAGTCATATTTTCAATATCAATGCCAAAATGTCACAATTTCTGCCAGGGTATGCAAACGTTTGAGCACAACTGTATTCTTGCTTTGGCACAGTAGTGATGCTCACATGGACAAAAGATCCTGAGAGTAAAAGATATGCTGATGGTAACACATCTAGGGCTAACCATACTTGGAAAATCTTTAGCAATAAATTGGACAAAAAGTTCACTGGTCCTTCAAGTTGCGGAATGAGTATGGACTAAGAAGCCCAAACAGTGAAAACAGTGATTAAATGTAATGTCAATGTTGGATTTTTACTACATTGCCATCAACACAAAAACTACACTACTGATAGAAGTAATTTTACCATGCAAACCTATTAAGTACCAGATAATCCAATTTCATATTGTCAGGGCAGTAGGTTTAAAGGGAACAGTACCAAAACACACAAATTACCATTTTTTTCTTTTTCTTTTCTTTTTATTTCACATTTACTGGACAACTAAAGACACTGTTTTTGGATAATGTAATGGGGAGGTGGCAAAATGTTTGCTGAGGGAAGTCACCAGACTCTCTGCTGCTTTTTGCAGGACCTTTGTTGTTGAACTCTGTAGTAATGTTCCCTCCTAGATTGTAAGCTCGAAAGAGCAGGGCCCTCAAACCCCTCGTGTATCACATTGTATTGTTTTCGTACTGTCGCATGTTCTGTCTCCCTTTGTAATGTACAGTGCTGAGCGAACTGTTGGCGCTTTATAAATACTGTATAATAATAATAATAATAATTGTACATCTTCATATAAAACACCACTGATTCCAATAACAACACATAATATGGATGGTGACAAAATGAAGACAAAAGGGGATATTGCCCTGTGCAAAACAGGGTCATTGTTCATGTGTGCCCAGGATTGCATAATCTCCAAAAAGAAAACTTCTTTAGAGGATGATCATTTTAAACATTCAAAGTAATGTTTATTTAAACCTTATTAGCTGCAGTATATCTTTAGTACATCCGGCAAAACACAAAGCCACCCATCGTGATCAGATGACCAAAATCCATAATCTACTGTACTATATATAAGTGTTTTAGAATGTAATACTATTTTGGTATATGTAAAAAAAAAAAACATATTGCCAGTTCATGGTGTCAGTAAATAAAAAAATATCACCCTGTGGTGCTTGGACAAGTTCTGTCAGTTCTGTAAAAATAGAATGCCGGGTTCTAAGATAATTAAATAAGTATTTCAGTAAATAATGGTCCCCTGCTGTTGCTTCCTCATCCAAACCCTTATCTAAGGAGTGGTGATGAGTAAAAATAGGTGGCTGCTGGGGCCTAAATGGCTTTGTAGCCTAAGGTGACTTCCTTAATCGCCTTGCCCTTAAGATAACTCTGATTTAACTATGCTGATGGCACCCAAATCTGTCTCTCAACTTCTCACCTCACCCATCCAGTTTCCTCTTACTAACTGACCTTTCAGTATAGATTTTACACCACCTCTCCCATTTAAATATTTGTAAAATGGAGCTCATAATAATCCTCCTCTTTTCCCCCTATGACCCCTACCCTGTCCCATCAACATTAATAATACAACTAGAAATTCCTGTAAAAAGAAGAGGCATTATACTAACCTTTGTGGCAGCAGGTGCCTAGAAGTTCTATCACAATGCTGCTTCCCTGCAATTCCTTCACAATGCTGCTTCTCTGCAGTTCCAGGTATCCAACCCAGGGCTGCTGTTAGAAACCACGGGGCCCCATACAGCCAACCTGACAGCCTCCCCCCCACCAAAAAAACCCCCAGTTTACTATGCTTTAGCTATGAATGAACACAGTGAGTGATCAGTACCAATCAATCATTGTGTTTATTCAGGAAAGGAAAGGGGTTGGTAAATGTGACATATTTCCTGGACCCTTCCCCTGCTCTCCATCCTGAAGGATCCTATTTTGTGCTTGCAGCTGACGGTAGAAAGTAGAGGAGTGAAGCCGACTGCACTGTGGGGATGGGGGCACACAGGGTGGTATACAGGAGGGTGTTGGATGTGTGGAGGGGGCAGTTACTGGAACCGATCCCCTGTATGGCTCTCTCTGCAGCAGCTGTAAGCCAGCAGGGTGAAAGGATAAGATGCTGGCTTTCAGCTGCTGCAGAGAGAGCCATACAGGGAATCTATTCCAGTAATTGCCCCCTCATCGTACCAATCACCCACCCTGCCCACATCCAATTCACCCAGCTGCCTTGACCCCATACAGGAGGACTGGTGGTACCTCCTTATCCACGGCCCTGATCTGACCAGTCAGATGGGCGGAATTCCGTTTCCCCTGGTTCTTCCCGTTGGCTCGTATCTCCTGTAGTGATGTATAAGATGATGGGCAAAACCATGGTGCATGGTGAGGGAAGCATGTATTCACATGCCTGAAAGTGCAG